TAGCGCGTTCGTTCCCCACCATAGACACCTGCGGTCCAGAGTTTTGCAAATATCTCAGCAACGTTGTGGTTGTATTTAAGTTTAAGCTTTATGAGTTACACAATTCGTTTTTTTTTAATTTCAGATGGAGTATATTTACAAACTTGAAAATCCTGGTGTCTAAAAAATCCACCGTATAGTTAAAGAGCGATTCCGACCGTCAATACATCTAGAGTACGCCCGTGCAGCATGGACTGGAAACAAACATGAACACGTTTCCTGCAATCTTCATCCTGCTTTCATAATGTTTATCACCGCTATATCTCTACAATATTGAAAACCAAATGGTTGAAGAGCAGTCATCTGAAGGGAATGATCGTTACGAGTTTACATTTGGAAACGGAACATAAATGGGTTTCTTTTGTGTACTAACACTGTCCAATGACGACCAACCAGTCGTGGTCAGTCGCTGTTCTTTTGTCCCTATTTGTATATGGTGATTTTTTTGGATTTCGTAGATCAGAAGGGACGTTTTTTCGCCTTATTGCATTTTCTTAAGGACAACGTAGAAAATGAACAGATCACCTTGATGAACTCTAAGACCCGTAATGAGGGAAATCAGACCATGACTAGTACAATATGGAATTTTATAGCACCATTAAATTATAAAGCACTGTCAAATAATAGCTTTAGATTTTCGTCAGAAAAGAAACTATTTTCGAAAACTTGCTATTCTCAAAGAAATTCGTTGGAATTTGGCTCTTACAATGAACGCTTCTGTTTTTCTTGAGGGAAGCATTAAATAAACTGGTAGAAATTGAGTCCATCTCTAAAACCACCTACGAAACGACCGTAACACACGGCTTCTTTGGTGATTGAGAAACCAAAATTTTACCAGCCAGAGATGTTTTCAATTGCAGACGTTCAATTTTCGATTACAAATAATTGTTACAGCAAGTGCCTAACTCTTTCGGCTAGGTATTTTAATGTAAGAGCGTCCTGAATCTGGCCGGTCAGCTTCAGTGATCCTTGCATGTATGCGTTCACAGGTGACAACTCTTCGGAGATTATCTTCAAAAACACCTGCTGGTTCATTTCCAACACAACATCTGCGTTTCGAAGGACGCCTTTTCCACAAACACCTGGCAAATGCTTCAAGTCGATGAAGAATGGCGAAACACCAGAGCAGCTGATTTGGAAGATTCGTCCGACGGCTTTCGCTAACTGTTCGTCAATAGCCATGTTAATAATGGTGACAAGCTGATCGACGTCCATTTTCAAATCTACATTTGGTTCCATATCGACGGCCGACTGCTCGATAAGAGTAGACCGCTTCGGAACGGATTCATGAGCTGAATTCTGGACCGCTGTTTCGTTTGGGTTGTTTTCAGCCGCATCACGAGCGAATTCTTCGACGTGTGGAGTGATTACCTGAATGAAATACTCTCGTGATGAACAGTCGATAGCTGTTTATGGTTTCTTTATCGTATTCCTTTTGTACTGAAGTGGAATAATTATAAAACCAAAGTGGCTAATGATACAAGTTTGTGCCATAGCCACAAGAATGGTTTGCTTATCTAAGCACTTAACCCTTTCGCAACCGTGCGCATCGATTTCGAAACACACATTGGCTAATGCTACTCAAATTATTCATATCATCCAACCTACGGGAACATAAAAAAGTCTTTTCTACAATCATCTTATGTTCACAACCCTTCAGTTCTTTCACCTATCGAAATTCTACCTTTTACGGTAAAAAAAAACCGGCAAGCCCATAATAGTCGTTAATTAAGCTCGGTCGCGAAATAGTTAACCGACAGAAAACCAGGATTTCTATCTATTCAGAAGTTACCACCAATTATTATCAAGCTTGAAAAGCAATTTGAAGGTTCTATTGTGAAACTGTACAGAAAATTCTTTCGCCGTCAAAGAATATGGCTAGTGTGAAGCTGATTCTTCCAAGAATACGAACGAGTTCAGAAACCCTGGTTTGTACTGTTCTTCTGATTCACTTAAATATTCCATACTAACTCTTACTGGAGTTATTTGAATCATTTTCCTTAAAAAACTAAGGAATCGTTTTATCTAACGCTCATAAATGTTGAAATTCACTTAGTGAGAGTGGAATCACGGACTTCCCACAGCTTCCGTCCGGCGTCCGACTTCGCGATCGCAGTTAGTGCTAGCAGACCCATGTTCTCACCTTCCTTGAATATTCAGGTCAGGTATTACGGTAAGAACGTTGTTATATATTGAACCTGTTTAATGAGGTGATAAACAATTCCCACTGACCTGCAGAAATTCTCCAATATATTTGCTTTTTTAAATGCCATCACTTTAGAATTTTTACCATTCTAGACAAATCTCACTTATAATAAAACAAATATCTATATTTATAGGGTTAAGATTGCCCTTGTGTCCAACACTTAGTAAATACCCGGTAAGTTTAATAATGCTGCAGTAAACACACATTGATTGATATGACTTTACACGCCTCCCAACGGTTTACCGCCACATCGTGGCTGTGAGGTGTTCCTAGGTGTCGGACTGCGATGTACAGCGGGATATTCATCACCCTTGCAGGGTCTCCCAAGCTGAGGAGAAGTCCGGCGTTTCCATTAGGAAGCTTAACTAAGAGTAAACCAATACCAGGATCAACTACCCTCCTGGTATCAAAGTCGCATGGTGAAAAATCTCCCTCTGATCTACAAGGACTGCGACTACCTGTGGTAGTGGAGACTCGGAGCAGACTTGGCCAAACTGACATCAGGGTTCCGTGGAACCGCAATGGTTTGACCAGCAAATCTCCGAAAAATTGAGATTGTGCTGGGGTCTGCACAACCAGTGAGCACGGGTCATTCAAGTATCAAGTAAGTACAAAGTATAACTTTGGACGATCCTACATCGCACAATGTATGCATCCCAGTACGTCTTGCACTCAACTCGTTTCCTCGTATCCATTCACGAAAATTTCCGGATTCTGCGTGATATACGCCTGGTAGCTGAAGAATTTGACTTCTTAACGACTATCACTGAATCCTGCTCTAGTCGATTCTCCCTATCCGAAAGTCGCTCTGGGAAAGTCGTACTAAGGCATAACTGTGGGCTGTGTAAACAATAGGAACGTTCCCGTTGAAGTCTGGGAGCAATTCCCCTACCTCGGTGGAATGAAAGGCCTGGTTGATTTAAGACGGAATGGAACCAATGCCTTGAGCTTAAGGGCACCGCTACCAATACATTGCTGAAGTAAGATGAAATCTACTTTTGAAAAATGGTAAGAAATGTACTTTTATAACTTTTGGGTCCGATAACTCTACATCGGTGATTTCAACTCCGTAGGTGCACGTGACACTGCCGAGTTCATCCTATAAGAATCGAAAGTTTGTTTAAGTTAAAAAAAATTGTTGCACCAAGTAAAGGTCCTCTACCGCTTTGCTGAGGTTTTCCAACTTGTGTGCGCTGTGAATACACAAGGAAAGTGAACTCGCCTTGAGATTAGCAGCGAGGATCCGTCGATCCTGATTGTTGGCGATTTCACAGATTTGTTTTTTACTGATATATCGATGCAACATTGTGTTCGCCAATGTCCTCGTCGATGAATTTCGATCCTGAGATGAAAGCTATGTTTGGAAATATAGGGAAAAATTCTTAAAAGCAATCAATACCACTGATATTATTACTGAATACATGTAAACCATAGAATTAGAGCAACTAAGTGAAGGGTAAACGGTAGTGCGCACGAATACCCCATGCATTCAACTCTAATCATGGCATCTGAGAGGTGATGGAATGTGTATTCTCCTGTAAAGTAACTTATCAGAACCTACCAACGTATCAAACTGAGTGATTTTATCGTCTCAGACAAAATTGGTAACAATTAAGTGATCCCGAAGGAGTGGTGATGCTTCGTTTGCATGGAGTGCGAGATAGAACCGATATCCATGTCTGCATGCGGGAAAACTCTAACCATTGCACTATGAAAAATCGAATGTATTATAATGATTTGGAAAGTCATACTGCCACAGAAATATATACGTAGCGTCTTCATTTGGCATGTCTCCTTTCGGCGACGCAAACGATAGAAATAGAACAGAATTCCTGATCACAATGACATTTAAAAGAAACAGTTCCGATTAGGGTTATAATTTCTATAGGAATATCATGGTCACATAAAAGAAAAAAAAATCTGTATAGAAAGTAGACAGAAAGAAAAGAAGGCATACTATAAACAGATATTTTCTTTTCAGGTCAACTAATAAATATGTAAAAAACTGAACATCGTCTAAGCAAAGCATGAATGGCGGATTGTAAGAAATTCATATGTGAGGGGTGTATAGGGCAGCTCGAGATACCTTGCAATACACATTAGACAGGTCGGTGGCTCAGCTCAGCGTTCCGGGCTCATTACGACTTCCATCCATCCAAGGTCGGCAAATTCCCATTAGAGTGGTCTGGTGGAATAGCAGTACGGACTTTATGGACCATTGCTTACTGCAGATCATTGTATAGGGCAAATAATATGCATCCTGTCAACGCCTGATGAAGTCGAATGCATGGCACATTAATTAGCGCTTGATCAACACGGAACACTATATCATTCTTTACCATGTTTGAGATTGACCTGAATTGAACAGACAGCCGCAATAGGATCGCGAATCCGTAGAAAAACAGTTGCTCCTAATTCAACTAGCCCACGATCGATCGTAATCACCTGTAAAAGTTAAGTTCTAACCGAGTTCTCGTTTCCGCACGTTGGTTCTTTGCTTTCATGTTTCTTATAACTTCATGCTAAATTCCTGTTCACGGAACGCAGCTTTCCACTACAATCCTCTAGATGTGGACAATAAAAGCTTTAATTTTTGGCCATCAGGGGTTGAACTCTATTGGGAATCAGTGATAAGAACAACGGGGCTCCCACATTTACTACCCGAAGCTCGCTTAATTAGTCAATGGCTTGCGTGGCACCAGTAAGCTCTTTGTTTATTCCAGTCTACGTCTTGTTGAGGAACCATCCAAACCAGCCATTAACAGGGCCATACTTTTGGCATGAAGCCCTTATTTTTTAATCTTTTCGGCGATAAAGTGGACATGGATAGCACGTCGAACTATGCCACAGGTTTTACTCATCAGCTGTCCTGATCTCTTTCAATGGATGTAAAACGTGGAAGACGACCGCTAACCGTTTTCATGCACTTCTTAATAATTTGGCGGCATTCATCTAATCAACATGTACAAAACAAAATCATATGTTCCCCTTTTTAACTATTATTATACGATTCGACACCACATGTATTACACTGTGCTGATCCCAGTACTTGTTGCATTCGATTCGTTTCCTCGCCGCCACCATCTACAAAAGGCTATAAATTTTTCGCGTGTGACTTCAGATGCTCCCTGAGAATTTCTTCGTCTTCGTCGCGCTGGCACGTTCCGAAGTGATTCGAGAGAATCAGCTTCTCCCATGATGATCTAGTACCAATGTCCTTACTCCTGTAAGATGAGTGCCTTTGTTTGCCTGGAGCGGCTCCGAGCCAGCGCCTGAGTAGGCTAGGCCGTCGGCGTAATGAACAGGACGATCACTGTTGCTCAACCTATCCGCTATCCCCATGCGCTAACATCTTCGTTTATTTATTTACGCATTAATAAAATCAAGGTGCCATTATACACACTAATATAGTCAGCAGTATAGGGAAATGTTAGCCAATCTAGCGTTGGAATGGCAGGGAGTTCATTGCCTAAATCTATTTGCGTCCCGGGATTGTATCTAATCTACAATTTGCTTAGTAGATGCCATCTAAAGGCACGCTGGGTAGTGTTTTCCCTAAGATCCTTTACTTGAATACGATTCATAAATCCGTGACGTATATACCAAAAATTGGAACAGTAGAGAGAAGATGACTGTAACAGAAATTTCTAAACAATTTATTACCGAAAACAAACCCCTTTTATTTAAAATTGCTTCAAATAACTGTTCTGAAAGGCCTAGAAGAAAGATGTGATGCTCAACGAGTCCCTAGAGCGAGCGGAACCCACTAGGCTACTCTTGGACGCGATAGGGAAAAGTGGAAGATTTACTGGCGCCCGCTTGAGTCACTCGACGATCAACGGGACTACAGGTGACACAAATGAAGTCAACTGCTCTCAGCAGAGATTTCTGACACGATGGGGCAGTTGCACGCTCAGCTCTCAGATTTCTCAGGAAGTATAGAGAACATTCCAATATTCGTGAGAAATGTTCTCTATGTAAAACATTTCAAATACTTTTCAAACATTTCACCTTTTCTCCATGACGATCTGATAACCTTTCCAAGCATTTCAAATGCTTCTCCCATGACGTTCTATCCGTGACGATCTGATAGCCCTATGTCTAACATTTCGTTGGTGCCTATGTCACAAAAATATCTGCAGTCACGGTCCTAGAATTTGAATATCGTCCTATAAGACTGCAATGCTTGAGAAATGTTTCCAGCACCCGCCTTTCCGCCGACTGTAACCCGACTCCGCCTACTGTAGTCTGACTCTGCCCAGCGCAAAAGTATATAAACGGCTCCACGGTTAGCTAGCTCATGTCACAGCAATGCTGCCCAATTCACCGTATCCTTTTCTCACATCTATCTTATGTAGTAGAAGTCATATATCAATCTCTTCACTTATAAGCAACCTGAACACCAGTGATCAGGCTGCGCCTATTCATTACCTGTATCATTGTTGCACTAATTGTACAATTGTACTGTTATGCTATAATTGTTGTATAATTATGATAAACGGTTTAATTACCCAAGTTTGGATGTCCGGAATTGTGACTGCTACTTACAAGAAGTCCCGCATGGAGTACACAAAGGCGAGCAGCTAATTCCGACCGAATCGTCTTAACTACTTGGTATTCCTATATCAACGAGCCGTCCCAACAGGAAAGTTCCATAATCTTGTAGATGATCCTTTGAGGCGGTAATTATAAAGAAATAGAAGTGCCTCTTTTGGTTCATAGCAAAATCTAATTTGGGTCTGGGAAAGAAAGTTGGTACAATACGAATGCAGAGTTTTATGTCTACTCCTTTGTTCATTACTTGAGCTTACCATTCCCTTTTTCTATATTACCCAATTCCATGTAACCCTAAAATCTGTCCACTGCTCAAAACCGCGCAGGTTTTGCTTTGTTGGAAAAGAAGAACATGTCAAATCGGACCTGCAATGGAGGAACATTGAATGCGGTGATGCTGGTGCTGATCTTATAGGTGGTGTCGATGCACGGCAGAACAAATGCTGCCCCGGGACCGTGTGTCTTTTGAGCTCGTCCTAGTCGAAACACCACCAGACGCTCCGATGTCGACATGAACTGTAACAGAGCCAACTCTACAATAAGACATCAAACCTTCCACTACAAGATGTGAACCGACGCTAACGAAGGTAAGAGAGGTCTTTGCGGTTGAGAGCAGCAGAATGCTTCGAAAATACTTTACTTCGAAACTCGATTGATAAAACGGATCCCACACCTTCTTCAACAGAATGCTTTGCGCGCGTTATCCTATCCTTCATATTATGCAACACGCATGGATTGTTTTGTTTTCACAATTTTTCACAGCAGTTAATATGCCTAGCTCTCGAGGACTTTTTATATTTAACTCCATATTTCGAGACATTATTTTTGTTGGCTTTCTCTTTTTGGAACTTTTCGTCACATGCCAGACTAGTTTATTTACTTACATGATCTTATAAACTGATCTTCTTGAGCCGATGCGAGGTTGGTATAGGTCTTCGTTGTCGTTGTCGTTGTTGTTGGTGTTGTTGGTCGATGGCTGACGTTTCGGCATTTTGTACAAGAATACTTTAATTATTCGGTGGAAAAAAGCCAAAGTATTAATGAAGATCAAACTTTTAAACAGACGAAATATTGAACATAAAGGCTACTCACCGTGGTGTTACGAGTGGGACTGGCCCACGCGTTGTTCACGTGGGGTCGCTAGAAAAAGTGATCTTGAAAATTATCTAATGGTTGTTGACATCCCACCCAATACCCTACGCCATCAGTTAGTTCGCAACAGTCTCTTTGATCGTTTATGCAGCTCAGAAAACTGTGTGGTCTGTCCTAACGGGAGAGACGGGGATCTCTCGAGTTCAGGTATAATAGGTAATACATACTTGATCTCATGTAACGCATGCGGTGAGGAATATATTGGAGAAACGGGTAGACCACTTTGTGTCCGCATAAAAGAACGTCTAGATGGGAAAGCAAAAATTCGACAAAACACTCCTCTAGGTACGCACAGGGCACAAAAGCACAACGGCGATGATTTTGAAGTGAATGTGCGGATCCTAGCGCAGGAATCGAAAACATCAACGCGCAAAACTCTTGAGGCGTTTTGATAAATTTCAAAAACCCAAAGATGAACCGGAAAGACGAATGCCTCGCTAACACACGTGACCTGGCGCCCTATTTCAAAATGATATTTTGACCCCTGGGTGTGTCTTGCTCGCGATTCCACGTTAACAAAGCGTGGAGCCACTCCCCCTTGTACGATAACGGTGAGTAGCCTTTCTGATCAATATGGCGTCTAATTAAAAGTTTGATCCTCATTGATACTTTAGTCTTTTATCACCCAATAATTAAAGTATTCTTGTACAAAATATGCCGAGGCTCCGAGGAAGACGAAATCGCCGAAACGTCATCTATTGGCGAACAACACCAACAACAACGCCAACGACAACGAAGGCCTATACCAACTTCGCATCAGCTTAAGAAGACCAGTTTATAAGACCATATAAACATATCAACTGTCTATGCCAAGGTTTATAGAAAGTCGGTCTTTTGAGTTATTCAGACTAGTTTAATTTTGTCATTGGTCTCTCAAAGCATTAGAGATATGTGCCTCACTCTGGTTCTCATCTATCGAAGGAACCTTAATAAACTTTTTTCATTTGCTTCGCCACTTAAGCATCGTCAAGTATCCATCCTTAAGGTGGTTGGATTCTTGTAGTGAGCACAGGTGCGGGTTGAGGATGTGTCATCTTCTGCCCTCATTAAAATGTCGAATGCGAGTTCGATGTCTTTTTCTCTGGAATCCTGAGGTAACAATGGTAACCCATTTTCAGCTTCTCACTGAAGGCTGTCCGGCAGGCCTTCTGGATTCCGACGGAGGTTTATCATCTTGCAACTGGGATTCTTCTATAACCATAGCGATTCCTACGCGTCATCAACCGACAAAGCGAGGACATTGTAAATTAGATGGATCTATTCTTAGCGCTAGTCTTAAACCTTGATTTTTAGGATTCTCAGCTAGTTGAAATATTTGAAAGATTTAGAGTGGAACAGAGTAAATCGATACCTTTACAACAAACAGTAGAGAGAAAGGAAGTGTGACAAAGACAAACAACACACTAATCACATAGATAGCCAGCTCGACGACATTCATTGGTGCCACCTGAAATGATGACAAATTTCGTCCTTTGATAAACAAACATAATCCTTTGTAGGCAGTGAATCTATTTAAAAAATACTTCTCTTTAAAAAGTTTCCACTACAACCCTCAATTTGCAAGTATTTTGTTTGTTTATAAAACTTCCTTATCTGATCAACTTGTCAGTTTGTTCATTTCACTTGTTCCCATTTATCGGTGAACAAACGTTGCAATCGTTCTCACCTCCACTCTTTATCTTTCGTTGCATCATGTTGGACAAAATGAATAATAAAAGGCATTGAAACTTTTCCTAAATATGATTGAAAAAACTGGAAAAGGTGTGTTACAACCACTAAAGGGATAAAGGATAAAACTCTCGGCGTTGATCAATCCTTGAGGATACTCCATGCATTCGACTTTATTGAGCATCGTTTGGAGGTGATTAAATGCATATCAGACCTTTACAATATCGTGGTGGCCTATCGATGTATCCAGCCAGTGCTGCGATCCTCCCAGACAAGTCTGGTACCAATTTGCCGACCCCGGAAGGATAGAAGGCTTGGTGGGCCATAGGCCCTGGGATCCATTCCACATGTGTAATACAGGGCGCCTTGGACCACTGCACCTTTACGATCATAGGTAGCAAATATTATGACACGAAAGTCAGGAACAGCTACAAACCTCTTTCTCTTCTTGATCGAAATTGTTACTGTAAGTGAAGTTACCGTAGCGATTTCCGAGCATGTTTCCTCTCCTTAACAAGCGTTCTATGAACGATACACTTATATTTTATATTAGAATAAGAACAATGGTACTTAACTAGGATAAACAAGGCTAGTTTATTGGATGAAATACTTCGTATTTAAGTTGTGGAATTATGAACTCAAATAAATATGCTCAGTAGTTTAACCATAGTAGCGGGTAATAATCTCTGAAATGAATCTGCGGTGCAAACCATAGCGCATCTCTTAGCGCGGGCTTCCAATCTGAGATCCAATCTGCCACTTGCATCTAGAAGCCTAGTTAAGAAAAGATCAGTGTCACCGCAGTGTATCTGAAAAAAAACCAGTCCTAATGCGAAAAATGGGTAGTGCCTGTCCATTTTAGTAGTGTCCAAAATCCTCCCAACGGTTCACCGCCTCATCTTGGCTGAGAGGTGTTCCTGGGTGTTGGGTTGCGATGTACAGCGGAGGATTCATCCCTTGGCGGGGTCTCCCAAGCTGAGAAGGAGTCCGATGTTTCCATTAGGAAGCCTAGCTAGGTGTAAACCAGTAACAAGATCCACCGCCGTCCTAGTATCAAAGCCACATGATAGCAACTCTCCCTGTGATCCACAAGGGCTGCGATTGCCTGTAGTAGGGAAAACTTGGGGCAAACTTTGAGCAGAGTGATCCCGGAATTTCATGGAACCAAAGTGGTTAACCAGCAAATCTCCAAAAGATGGAAATTATGCTTGAGCCCGCACAACCAGTGAGGACGTGATATTCAAGTATCAAGTAAGTCATTTGAAAAATCTCCTTACATAACCACGGACGGCTCCTTAGAGTGACGATTGAAAATGCATCACTTAGGCTGCCTGGAGACTCCACGAAAAATTGGTCCCTCAACTAGCAATAATTCTTCTTCAGCACATGCACAGAGAGCGTTCACGTCTACGGTGAGCGGTGAGGTAATCAGTGAGAAGTACTCAAATCTCAGTTTCCATAGGGGGCCATGGAACCTATATCATAGCGACACGTACATGACACCTTATCCAAACTGAACTGCATGTGGCTATGCATCTTCAAAACTAGAACATTCTGCTCTAAAGTCTACTTTGACGCTTCTCCTATGTGTCATATCGAGCTGCACTAGAAAAATGGAGCAATAAGACTGACAGTACTTTCTTGAGATTTATACTTGTATTCTTTTATTCGCATATTGTGCAGATCTTCTTTGTATGTTCTTCATTCGGTTCGTTCTTTTCAACTCGTCATGGACAAAAGCCTTTGGATCTGCGCACTGATTTGGATGCTTCTTTTCAATTTTGTCCACATCATCAACTCCGTCAAACAATTGTTGCATTGATTCCCCACTGGAGTTGCTGTACTACAGCGTTATCAAGTCCTCACAACAAGCAGGCACCACAACTGGTAGATCCTATACACCGTTTCCTAAGAATGTTTAGTACCAATTTTCCAACCTTAGAGGGATCAGAAGGCCAGTACCAGATCGGACAAGCTCTCCACTGATCCTTGAGATCAAACAAGATCTCCCTTTGACGTACACCAATTAAAGGCCGTAGCCTTCTTAGACTAGTACACGACAATTCAATCACGGAACCCTTGTCAACTTGACAACAGCCAATTAACTTCCACGACTCTCGTCAATTGCGGAAAAGGGATTTCTTATTGAAATGTGTGGCATAGGCCTTATTTCATATCCATCTACTAACCAATACGTCGTCATACACCAGATTCTATCCTATCAATTTTGGTTTGGCCAATCTTGAAGTTTAATCAACATGCTGGAAAATTACCAACGTTTACTACTACTCACTGACCTAGACAGGTTCATAGTCGAAGGACCACGAAACACTCGCGAGTGGGCTTCAGTTGATCGATGAAGAAATTTGGATCACAACTGGCATCCCAAAGGAGTTGATTTAAAAAAGAAGAAGAGTGAAACTAGATCTGACCCCAAAATATCTAACAAGGTTCATGATAAATGTTATCTGTAAAGATTTTCGCAAAGGAATCAACAGTAGAACATGCGGAAAAAGGAGGAACTGGTAGAAGCAGCACAGAAAAGAACCAAACAATGGAAATACCGCTGTAACATATGCTAATATAACACCCTGAAATACGAAAACGTGACTACCACAACCCCTCCGGAAAGCTTCTACTGCATATCCCAAAATAGTTGCTAGGAAAAATCATCCAGGACTGCTCTATTTCAAATTCAAACTAATGCCAAATTTTGCTTGTCAACTGCGCTTTGAAAGCCCTTTAAAAACATTGCCCTAACCTGTATGTAGAGAAAGTTTTTCGTAGAAGCTCAACAATTTGAGAGGGCAGGATAGTGACGGAGATTTGACTGCATCATAATTGATGCCATAGAAACCTGACCAGAATACCACACCCAACACTAACGGATCGGTCGTAACCCATGATATATGGAAGACATGAATGATAATGTGAAAAGATGTGTGTGTAGCTCATTGCACCTAACTATGAGAAAACTGGAGGTTTTCGGAATGATAGCTGCGAATGTTACTGCACTAGGAACGGACTGCCACCATCGATAACTTTCACATGGAAACGAAGAAAAAATCGTTCCATTCATTAAAATTGGTGCTAAAATTTCAATTTAGAAAAAATCAGAACCGAAAAGTACGTTGTCAAACTTTTTAACGCAAGTGCGTCAGCTGCAACTTTGAAAGGTACGTTAGAGACACCATGGGGTTTTATTCAACGAAATCTGAACTGTTCACTACTGTCTTAGATTGTTGGCCTTGCACAAGGTCGCTATATAAATCGATTTCCCAATTGTTTCATTCATCGAAATAAGGACTTCAACGAGGAAAAGGGAAAGTGAAAAGTACGTTTTATTGGCTTCGCAATTCTACCCTTGCATAGTAGAACTAGTACCTTGTAAGTAAAGATCATCGGATTCGACTACTTTTATGTCATATAATAAGGTCTACATTCCACTATGAACTGAGATACGCTTGTTTAACACAGATAGAAGCTGCTACTTTCGAGCCATTCTCTGCACGTGCGCATTGGGATCAATGCACCTGGTCTGTCACGTTTTAACCCGTAAAGCAGACGTTCAACATCCAAGAAAGAAATGGCTGCTCTTCTCTCAAAGAATTCTCGTCGTTTTTTACTTAGAGCATAGTATTATTGCCATTGTGTTATAAAATCTTAGCTAAGCAACCCATGTCGAAATGAATTCGCCAATTCTAACTATTATATTGACCAAAATTTTCCCAAACACAAGTAATTGCAGATCTCGCTCTCTTCCTTTCGCTTCAGTTCGTTCTTTCTCGTTCTTCCAACATCTGCACTAATGTGTCCTACCTTCTTTATTTTGTAATCCTCTGTTCACCTTCTTTGGACTTTGTTATTTCGATATTACGACCTCACTAACCTTTTTGGATCTTCGTAACCCATCCGATCTAGGTCATTGTATTTGGCGTATGTAAATGGGCTTTTAAATGTCCCTTCAGGACTTCCATATTCAATTCCGCTGTCATATTCGATTTCGCTGCCTCCCTTATCCATCAAGAAGGAACTGGCATGATTGTCGTCGTCGTCCTGCCGTAGAGCAGCGTACCGCATTGACGGAAGCGCCATGACTGAGGAATCGGTCGAGAAAAAGTAACAGCAGGTGAGATTTGTAGAAAGGAGAACGATAAATCTGGAAAAGAAATGAGATTTCATGCTATGATCCTGCTCTGAAACACTACTTGAAACGTTGTGCAAAAACTCAATGTTTACGGCACAACAACTGTTCGTCAGTTTAAAACCACCGGGCAGGTTAGAAAGCTAAGACAATGATAGCGTGATCGCTGTCCATCACAAAAACTGCATTTCACTTTTTCTACATACCAAGAGGTTCATTACTGGATCGGAATGTGTCGTGCGAAGAGGAATAGGTCCTAGAGACTGACTTACAACATTCAGCAAAGGGACTATGATAATATGAGGCTCATTAAAATTTTCGAAAAAGAAATTTGCTTTAAAAATGTTGCGAAGATTCGTTCGTTTTCATTGGACGGTTTCGTACAATACAAGGTTTTAAAAAGCGAAACGATCGCCACAGAAATGTTAAAAGTTATAAATCATTGAGCTCTCGGCTTTGATCAATTCCTGAGGGATGCGCCATGCATTCGATTTCATTGAGCATCGTTTGGAGGCGATGAAATAATGCATATTATAATGGCCTTCACAAGGAATCGCGGTGGCCTGCCGATGTATCGAGCCAGTGCTGCTATCCTCCCAGACAGTTTTGGTATAAATTTACCGACTCCGGAGGAATGGAAGACCATAACGACCATGAGGTGGACCATGAGCACGGGAATCGATTCCACGTGTGTGTTGCAGGGCTCCTCCGACCACTACGCCACACGCGCTCTACAGAAATGTTTACGTCATGAAATCGAAGGAATTCGCCAAAAATTACAGCAAAGATCTTTTCAATCAGAAAAATAGTAATCGGACTAGAATTTCGCTTAAGAGCGCACGATTCCTTGTGTGGGCGGCCAATCACTGACGGACCTTGTTTTTCAATGCTAGTTTGATAAAATCGTATCCATATATTGTAAGATTTCAAATAACAGTTTGCACATTTTAAGTGAGGAGAATTACTGGCGAAACAATCCTTTGACGGTCAGGACAATATATTTTCAGAGGTCGATATATTTATAGAGTCCCACCCGTAACAGCACGGCTCTGAGGGGGAAATCGCCGAAACGTCAGCCATGGGCCGAGAATAACAACCACTACAATAACGAGAACTATACCACCCCTCATCAGCCCAACAAGATCAGTTCATAAGAACGTGAATATAAATAAATATATTGATTACTTATACAGAGGTCTATAGAAAGTCGGTTTTTGGAGTTATTTTCAGAGGTTTGTTAACTGCTGTTTTATCCACAATATGCGCAGGGCAATATCGTTACCGATCCTCCTGGCCTTTGTTCTTACCGAACAGAATCTGTATGGAAATAAAGGTGCGCGTTAACTTCTAGTTGATTAGTGTTTTGTTGGAAAGGACGTGATCTCGATTAGAGTCATTTTATCGCTCCAATAAGGAAATTTGATTAAAGTGCTAAAGTTGCTCTAGGAATCTAAAAAGCGGCTACCGTTTCCATTATAAAGTCTTAATAAAAATTTGCCTACTTTTACTTCCTCGCCATTCCCTTGCTTTTTTTACCACGCTAAAGTCAAAGATACCGAATGCAGATAGCTTCGATCCAGAGCGAAAATTTTCGAAACCGCATTAAATCTGTCGATTTCTGAGTTGCCATCGAGACACCACCCCTTTGAAATCAACTAGATAAACGATATTTACGAAAATCTCTTCAAAATATTTCAAGCGTTTCACCATTTATTTAGAGGTGAACGTTTTCATGTTCATGATATTATCAGTGAGTGATTAAATGGTATACATCATAAGGAAGTGGAAGGCCTCTAAATATGCTTTACGACCAATACTATCGGTTTTCCGCCTATTATGTGGGAACTGGCTGACATCATCACTTTGAGCACTCCCACTCTCATTCCTGTTCCGACCACTTTGTCCTCTGTAAAAGTTTGACGTTTCTGTACTAGATAATCTGTGATATTCGCAAATTTGAACACCATCGTTACCGCTAAAAGTGCTCATTTGTAAATCCGCAAGTGATCCATCGACCTTCTGCACTTTTGCTGTTTTCAGATAGTAAAAATTCGCGGTTCTTACCACAACCAACCCTATCGACACTGAGAAGTCCATTGGATACAAGACAGGCAATAGTTAAGGTTAACCTGAGATTCTTTATATTGACATGAAAACGAAAATCTCTGAAGTGAAGTGCAGCAAAACGCGTTGCTAGGCTTCAGTAAGATGAAATCAATGAAGAGTGAAAGGGTTTTAGATTAAACGACAGACGTTTTCCGCAAGAAATCCACAAATGAATAGAAATATAAAATGCTGAAGCCGTGTTCATTTTTTTCACTTTTTTCTTCATTTCGTTTCTTGGTGTAGTTTTTTTTCTAATTCTCTTCTCATTTTTCTTTGTCTACTGCCTTCTTTATGGCGCGTGTGGTGCAGTGGTCGCAGGCGCCCTGCAACACACACGTGGAATCGATCCCCGCGTCCATGGCGCACCAAGCTTCCATCTCTCCGAGGTCGGCAAATTGGTACCAGATTTGTTTGGGAGGCAGCAGCACTGGCTCGATACATCGGTAGGTCACAGCGAGTCATTGTGATGACCAGATATGCGTTCAATCAACTCCAAACTAGAAGGTTCTATTGACATTTCCCCTTTTACAGTGATATTGATTGATCATGATTCTTACATTTATTCAACCATGAGCGTCAAAAGACTACTTTGGTGATTGTTGAGCATTAACAAGGTGTTTCCATCAGAAAGCCCAGAGAGTAACCCAAAACCAGGATCGGCTACAGTCCTGGTATCAAATTAGTCGCATAGTGGCAAATCTCCCTCTGGTCTACAACGGCTGCGACTGCCAGTGATGGTGACGACCTGGGGCAGACTTTGGCCAGGCTGACCTTACGATTCCAGGGAACCACAATGGCTAAACCGGCAAATCTCCGAAAAAATGGAGGCTGTGCTGGGGGCTGAACAATTAGTGAGGACAGGCCATCCAAGTATCCAAGTAAGCAATAGGGCTTTTCTTTCTGATATTCCAGTCGTGCGAACAAACGCAATAAGAACATTCTAAGGTGATAGCTTAAATGCAAATAAATGTATTATTTATTTTGTCTTAGATCTTTTCTTCAACAGCATCTCTTTGATGTTGTAGACGAAACAGAGCTCTAGAAAAGATCACGCTCGTAAAATAAATGAAATTTATAACGAACTTATTCAATACTTTGTGGACAGTAAACAACTGAGTAGCGACGAGAGTAGCGGGAAGTCATCGAGTGCAGTTACCCAGAAGTTAACCAAGTGCTCACGAAAGCTTTACGAAACTTCGCTTTAAGAGAAGACGACGAACCGCTAGTGAAGAAACCTCCCACCTTTGGAGTCCCCGATAAAGTTCTATATAAAAGATTTCTAAGCACTGAAAAGTCACGAAAACTCCTTTTCCGGTTGCGATAACGTCTCACTGGGATTGTTACCGATATTAAAAAAGCAATACTAAAGATATTAAAGATAAACCGATAAACGGATAATGTTTTCATTCAGATCTTTTGAAGAACAATCTTAGTAACGTCTCTAACTCTTTGTAACATTTCATGTGACAATAATTGTTATAATGGATTATATGGTTACTATTACCGCGTCACCCAGCAGTTTATCGCCTCATCGTGGCTGGGAGGTGTTCCTGGGTGTCGGACTGTGATGTAAAACGGGGAAATTTATCTCCCTGGCAGGGTCTCCCAAGCTGGGAAAGAAGCCGACGTTTCCATTAGGAAGCCTAGCTGAGAGTAAACCAATACCAGGACCCACCACCGTCCAGGTATCAAACTAGTAGTGGCACAACTCCCTTTGATCCACAAAGGCGGTGGCTACCTGTAGTGGTGACGGCCTGGGGCAGACTTTGGCCAGGCTGACCTCGGGACTCCAGGGAACCATAATGGCTAAACCAGCAAATCTCCGAAAAGTGGAGGTTGTGCTGAGGCCCGCACAATCAGTGAGGACGGGCCGTTCAAATACCAAGTATCCAAATATGACCACAACTCGTATAATAGGCCAGAAAACCCGGTAACCAAAAAGGAAGTAAATTAATGAGAGAAAGGAGATAACTAAATTAATCAGTCAAGATTTCACTGATATATAGAAGATTTGATTGGCCTTGGAACTAGTGGAGCATACTTGGTAAAATTTCTATTTTAAGCATACTCCAGAATGAAGTCGACAAATCATGTTTTATATAGAAGAGCCTGCCTCATTAATCTCTCTCATGAATCTAATCGAACGCGTAATCGCCAAGATGAATGTCGCATCCATGGGAGATTAAAATGTGAAGCAAAAGCAACCAAGTTCCTATTCTAATGCGAGAATGAATCAAGGAAATTCTTCATAGATGCATCGATAGAGTGTTACGCTCATTTCGGTTACCGTAAATAGATTCACTTATTCGTAACTTTGTTGCTTCTGTGTATACTGAGTGTATCGTGCTTGTTGGTTCACTTAAGGCGATTCGTTGACCAAGTAATCGGGAAGCACATGGGAACCCTGTATTGCCTCCAAGTTTACGTCAACTCATAAAGAACTCGTTTCGAAGTTTCGAAAGAGTCTGTCGAGCCTCATAACAGAAGCTGGCAAGTTGCTAGTAGGTACCTTCTGGTCAAAGAGATAAATAAGGGAACCGAACAAAAAATTTGTTGTTCCCGCTCTCATTCTCACTGTTGGAATGGTGGAGCTCGTCCTTGAGTTACTTGACGACAAATAGGATTCTGCGTGATATAGATGATAAACACCTAATACTTAGCAAACATTTCAACTCTTCCAGTCTCTCTACCTTTGTTGACCCGGAAACAACATGTTCAGAAGTGTTCTAAAATTGAACTAGAAACTAGCATAGGATTGTTCATATCTTCTCAA